AGGCCAATTAAGTAAGAGAAAAAAACTTTTGAAGTGATAATCAAGGTAGCTCAGTACAGACAGTTTGATAAGAAGCAAGTGTAAGAATACTTACAAGGGGAGATAGATTCAATGTTTGTAATGGCTCAGCCATTCCCAGTCCATATTTAATCCTGAGTTGATTGTGTCTAGTTTGCATATCAATTCCCCTCCAAGCTTATGCTCTAATAAATTTGTTAGTCTCTAAGGTGCCACAAGTACTCCTGTTCTTTTTCAGTATTTAGGACACCCAGTTCCCATTCATTTTACTTAGAAAATTGGGCTCCCATATCCCTTAGCCAGCTTTGAAAAATCTCTGCCTTTTATGTCTTATTTAGTGAATTTTTGAATATCTGTCTGGCCAGATACTCAGCTGAGTTCAACAGACTTACCAGTTTACCCCAGATACGAATCTGGCCCTAGCCCTTCCCCAACTACAAAGATAGGAAGCTTAGATTTCATATCTAACTAGCAAAGTGTAACTTTACTGTTATTTTCTGTAAGATGAAAGGCTGGGATTGTCTATGGGATTTGAGTGCTGAACTCCCGTAAAACTCCCCACTTATTGGTTCTTGTGCCTTCCTTTGAAGGAGTTGGTATTGCGCAGTGTGGGAGACAAGAAACTGGAGGAGGCAGACTACTAGACTGAAAATTCTCACGTTCACGGGCACATAAGTTAGCAATTTTAGGGCCAGGTCCTCAGCTGCTCCTTTGACAAACCAACTCAGCTGCGTTCATTTTCAGCAGCTGAGAATCTGGCCCATTTGGGTTTTGTTTTCACAAAAGAATATCTTCTGTTACAAGTCAGCAATACTTGCTAATGAAGTAAGATCTGGAAACCAAAGTGCAGCTCTGTGATGCTGGACAGAACTAATTTGCAAGCAAAGGTTCAATTTGAACGAGGAAAGTAGCATTATTAAAATTGTCACCACCATATGCTGGTGTGAAAACACCAGCTGTCCAGAATAGAAATAGTCTAGATTGAGTGTTTACTTCTTTAACCCATTTGTTGCCTTTGCTCTCTTCTGTGGCTTTATTAGAACAATTCTAAGGATTGCAGGACAGAGCAGAAGAGAGACGAAAAGACAAGGCATTATAGCATAGTGCACTAACAATGGAACAAGGACCTTGGAGCTGAAAAACTGGATTGGGACTGGAAATCCAAGTTCAGTTCTTGCCTCTGCTAAGATTTCATGCATGTCCTTGGGCAGATCAACTAGGGCCAGGTTTTCCAAGAAACTCACTGCTCAATATGTTCAGATGGAGTAATAATCTGGCTCTTAATTTCCCTGTGCCTCAGTGCCTCAGGTGCAAATTGGGGATACATTTTCCTCTGTTTTATCTAGAGTGTAAATTATTCAAAGCCAGGATCTTCTCTTACTGTGTGTGTGTAGTGCTCAGCATAGTAACACCCAGCTTGTCTATAGCTCTTTTCATCAGTAGATCTCAAAGCACTTTACAAGGAGGTCTAGATCGTTATGCCCATTTTATGGACGGTGAAACTGAGGCAGGAAGCAGTGAAGTGATAATTACAGTCACCTAGCAGCCTAGTGGCAAACCTGGGAATGAAACCTAGGTCTTCATTGCGGTCCAGTGCTCTAGCCACTAGACAATACTGCCTCTCAATTGGGAACTCTAGGCACTGCTGGGATGCAAATTATACGTAATAGGATTAAACAACTCTACGTGCCTGGGTTTTAGTCTCAGTTCTCCCACTGGCTCACTAAGCAACCCTGGGTAAGACGCTTCAGAGCCTCAGTTTGCCCCTTTATAAAATAAGGATAATAACTAGCTATAACACCGCTGTTGTGAGGACTAATGGCTCCACATAGCAGTGAACAAGCATGTTGCCATGCAAGTAGGTAATACATTTATTAGTGGTTAGAAAAGGGTTAGGAGTTGCAAAGGAGCAGGCTCAAGAAACAGAGTGGGAGGACAAGAGAGGCAGAGGGTTGGAGATGGTGCAAGCAGTGGTGATCTCTAGGAAAGGTTATCAGTGAAGGCTTTACAGATATAAGTGTGCCCTTTAATGCGCTCTCTTTGCCCTTCGCCTACCTGCCTGTCTCCCTTCCGTCTATATCTATTTAATCACGGTCAGATATACCAGTCTGTGTACCCCCGAGGTTCTTACGTGACCTCCATCATAGGATCTGAGCTTGAAGCCTCTTAACCTATCGGTTCTGTTGTGTTGTACACTATTCCTTCCGGTGTGTTTCAGGCTGACCTACTCCACAGGAAGATGTCTTACTTTGCATACCAGTACAAGCAACGGAACTACACCCCCTACTCAACGACACGCCTCATACCGCACGCCGAACCCTGCGTGGTTAAAGGCCCAGCGCCACGTGTTACCAAGTGCGCAGACCCATGTGCTGTGAAACACCCAGCACCGTGCACTACCAAGTGCAGAGACCCATGTGCTGGGAAGCCCTCGGTCCCATGTGCTACCAAGTGTTTTGAGCCACATGCCCAGAGACACCCAGCGAAGCATTACCCCAAATTTTCCGAGCCAGCGGGTGTGAAATGCTCGACCCCATGTGACACGAGATATCATGAGCCGTATGGTTTAATACACCCTCAGCCATTCCCCGAGAGATGGAATCCATGCGCTCCACCATATGTGCATCCCTATGTTACGGGATACCCTCAGGCATGTGGCCCAACATACGTGCCGTCTTTTCCCAAATACCCATACCCTTATGCTCCCCAGTGGCCCAACACGTGGGGCTATGGAAACTGTGGGCCGTGCTAAACCCAGAAGCATCGGCCACAGAACAAAAGCCAACCGGGAAATGAAAAAGCTAGACACAGATTCACAGCTGAGTTTATGGGCATGGCCTTCAGACCTGCTGAGCTCCCACAATGTCAGTTGAAGCCAACGAGAGTGGGTACTCAGTGGTGCTGAAGAATAGGGCCATCACTCTTTACCATGCTATCCTTTACCTTAGATTTACGACTATTTACTGTAGTGGAACAATAGCTATTTGCTCCTTTTACTATTAACACAGTAGACTTGAGTTCGTTACACTAAGGCACTTTGACAACCGCTCTGCCAGTGTCAAGGAGGTTAGGGCCCTAAGGTGGGCCTATGTTGTGTTTACAGACACCACAAGATCCCTTCAAGGACCAGAGGGGTGTAAAATAGCCTTAGTGTCATGAGAATTCGGCCCTGTATAGTCTAGCCTTTCTAAGAATATGTACCATTTGTTTTTGCTTGTTAACTTGGCTACAGAAGATGTTTTGTGCAGAAGCTGTTTTTAATTCTGTGTGTATATTGGACTTTGTCCTATATGAAGCCCACAGGGGGTAAAACAAGGAGCTTAAAATGGCGGAAAAAACAGAACTTGATTGCCCAACTCTACAGCTGCAACAAAGAAAGAGCATCTTGAGTGAAGTGACTTACCTCAGAGGGAAGTGCCAGTCGACTTCGTAGCTCTGGTATATGACTGGAAACCTGAAAGTGTATTCTCTGTCCTTTGCATTATTTCATTCTGCACACTGTATACTCCACTTCTTACGCATTAAAACTCACATTGCTTCACGGCACCTGCTGTCGCTTCCTCCTCCGTTCCTTATTTACAGTTCCCCACAGCTGGAAATCCCATTCGCAGACGGGCCAGAAGGCGGCTCATGCACCACCTCACGCCACATTAATACTAAGCCTTACCTCTCATACAGCACTTTTCATCAGTAGGTCTTAAAGCACTTTACTGAGGGCAGTGTCATTCTCCCCAGTTTACAGATGGAGAAACTGAGGCACAGTGAGGTGAAGTGACTGGCCCACGGTCATTCAACAGGCCAGCAGCAGAGCTGGGAATAAAACCCAGTTCTCCCGACTCCCAGTCCAGTGCTCTGTTCACAAAGCCAGACTCCTGTAGCCAAGGTCTAGCAAAGGAAGGATGGTCAGAGGGGTTAGGGAACTAGGCAAGGGGTTGGGAGACCTGGGTCCAAGTCCAGGCTCTGACAGACTTTTCGGGTCTGCCATTCTGTACAACAGAGATAAGAGTCCTGCCTCACAGGGAGTTGGGAGGGTGGGCAAGGCACTCGAGTACCACAACATTAGGGGCCTGTGGCCAAGTCTACGTGGGCTGGGTATTGTTATTATTATGCGCCACTAAGTCCCACGGGGGCCCAGTTTCAAGAGCTGGGGCCTGATTCTCCTCTCACTCGGTAACGAGCATTCCTTAACCTGGGGACACTCCAGGCTCGGTCTCTGTGGTCAGACCCAGCTAGGAGGACTCTAACAATCCCTTAGAGCAGTGGCTCTCAACCTGCGGCCCAATCAGCACACAGCCGCGGCCCATGTGACGTCCTCAGGGCCATAAAGGTAGTATTGGATGCGGCCCACAATGGTAAACAGGTTGAGAACACTGGATTAGAGACTTAGAGCGGTCTAGAGCAGTGGTTCTCACCAGGGGTATGCGTACCGGCCCTCCAAGGGGTACGTCACCTCAGCTAGATATCTGCCTAGTTTTACATCAGTTTTATGTACCTCCGCTACATAAAAAGCACTAGCGGAGTCAGTACCGACTAAAATTTCATACATACAGTGACTTGTTTATACTGCTCTATGGCCTCTATCCGTGTGTCTCAACCTGGCAGGGGGCAACGCCAGGGGGTTCTCAGGATGAGTTTATGGGGGTCGCAAGTGCAGAGCTGGCATTGGGGGTGGCAAGCGGGGCCCCCACAAACCTAAGATACATGCTGAAGCCACCCGGGGGTTCATGAATTGTGACATCTCCTTGTACTAGGTTTAGAATTCTTCCCTGTAACTGCTTCCAGAGCTTCTCCATCCCCATGCATTTATCCTGATCTTAAGGCTGTATGTTACTGAATAATAAGAACAATTTGCTTCTGGTTTCGTGATGAGATGCTGCAAAAGAGACTTTGTTTCTCAACATATGCTTTAGCCTTCCAATGACCTTCTGCATCTTAAACCCGGAGACTGAACAAGGACGAAAGCAAGGCAGTTTAAAAACTCTGCAGCAAGAAAGGAGGAAAAAGAGTGTCTCTGCAGTCTCTTATAATATGAGATTTTATACCTATTGTACCTTGTCTAGCTCTTTGCAGATACATGACATGGGTGCTGCATTGGTTTAGCTGCAAAAACTGTATCCTCCACCTATCTTTGCTATTAAAATGAAATCATGCTAGACTACCTCCGGTTGTTTCCTTTATTTTGCATATCCTGCTCCATCCAGATCTCTGTCGACCAAAATCCAGATGCAGTAAACCAAAGGAAACCACTCATACTGGTGAGCATTAGTACAGCAAGAATTTTCATGAACAAATGACTCAACTGTAAGATCATAAGAGAACAGAAAAAAAGAGCAACTTTCACTTTGAAATATTATAGCATTGCCAACCCAATAAACCAGTTTTTCCATCAGTCATAGACTAGCTCCGCACCCACACATGGAATTAGTCTGATTGCAAAACAATGTTTTCTTTGATTCACAGTGAGAAAGCATCCTTAGAAACAGGCTTGATACTTAAAACACCATGTATAAACTGTCACAGCGCGTGGGAACAAAACACTTTCCACATTTCAGTCGTTTGTCACATTTCAATGGCTCGTGTCACACAGTGGCAGGTCAGAACGCTCGGAAGAGTGTCTGTTATCCTGTGGAGAAACTGTTCTTTGGAATTTAATACTGTCCTGGTGTCAGTTCAGTTATGCAAATGAATGAATTTGGGAGCCTTACACATAACTAAGGCACAACCAATGTGGGTTTGTGGGTTTGTTATCTTAGCAACGGATGGATCCGTAACTGATCAAAGGAGAATGTCATACGTGGACTCCCACACTGACAGCACCTTGGGAAGCCAAGACTTCCCTGTGCTATATAAATAGATTGATACGCTATGTACTGATGATGTAACATTGTCTAATAGTTTTCAGGGCACAGCATAGTCCCACAAGTCCCTGTGTCTGAGAAAATGAGCAGGCCCTATGAAATCCAAACACCGAAGCCCAGCTACCATTTTTCATCCCCTCCTGCCTTGAAGCCATTTCCCAGGGCTCTCTAATCTTTACAAATAAGATATTTGTAAAAGGAGCACTCAATGCAACAAAAATAAATATACTCACAGGACTGCAGGCTGGGACCTTTAACTGCATCCCAAAGCAGGGGAATCTCCTACTAACTCGAGAGGAAGCGAGGGAAGGGTGGAACGTGGCTCCGTTCCATAACGTTCTGGGTAACCCAGTTAACTCTATTATGACCACTTCACTACGTGCCCAATAGTGAAACAATGGCTTTGGAGATGCCAGGAGCAGCTCCCACAACGCTGTAATTCCCCGAACCTTGCAATGAGCGCTCTATGCAAAGCAGGATGCTTTTGTGCTTAAGCACCAGACAATTCCCAGCTCCATCCCTAGTTTCTTCTGGGACATCAGCCAACCACTTGATCTGCATGCCTCAGTTCCCCACCTCTACCCAAGGATAATAATGCTGCCTGTTACTAATGATTTGGATACGGTAGAGCCCACCAGCCCCACAGAACAAAGAGATGGCCCCCTGCACCAGATGGCTTGCAATACAAGCTCCCTTTCTGCCTTGTCTATTTAGACTGCAAAGGTGAGATTCACAAGTGTGTTTAGGCATCTAACTTCCATGGATTTCAATAGGAGCTAGGTATCTAAGTGCCTTTGTGAACCCCACCCTAAGCTCTCCAGGCCAAGGACCATCTCCTACTAGGTGTATGTACTGCCCTGAGCTCCGTGGGACCCCTCGCTGCTATTTGTAATAATCATTTACATGTGCTTTTGGGACAGATAGGGCAGTTTCCCAGAATATCCTGGCCAGCCCTTATTGAATTAAGTTTGAGTATCTTAGGAGCTCTTTGTATTAAAAACGCACGTGTTGCTGTATTATTGTGTGTAACATCTGGGGGGTCAGGAGGAGAAAGACCTGAATAATGTAAACCCTGGGAAGGATTATGAGCGTCCAATGATTTTTTTTAAAAAAATGGGCCAGACAAGACTGAATAGTTAGTTAAGTAGGTTTCCTGGGAAATATTTAGGGGAGGTGCAAATTACCCACCTCAGTCTGGACCCATCCTTTAAAAACTGTGTCTTGAGACAGCCATTGTCTGCTGATCACCTGTTACATGAACACAAAATCAGAGGCCCAAACTGGACAAGAGAATGACCCTCAGTTCATGGGGGTGCTTGTTCTAACTCAAGGCAGTTATGAACTTGTAACCACAGAAAAACTCCTTGGGCTGGGGAGGGGGTTGAAGGACTGCTCCCCCACCAGACCCTCTGTTGGAGTTGGGGTGATCGCTGGGAAGCATATTCGCATGCGTGTCGGTTCTTTGATTGCTGTTAATAGCGCTTTTACCTTAAAAATAAGTGGGCTTGTTTCGAAAGAGCTATGTGGTAATTAAACTGTGGCAATTACACTGTTTAGGGCCTGAGAGGAGGAAAGCAGAGCAGGCTAGCTAAGGCAGTCTGACTTTGCTCGGGGAATTCACAGCGTAGGCAGAGAACGGTGCAGCCTGGAAATACCTGCTCAGGAGGGACACCATGATGCGTGTCTCTGCCCGAGAGTGGTGACAGCCGGGGACCCAGGAACCTAAGCGCGGGTGCCCTTGCTGGATCATAAGCGGCAGGATACAGACAGTTGCCTTTGAACTTGGACAGTCTTATACTATCCCCATTAATCATAAAAGTTCCTGTAGTGGCCCCATTTATGAAACTTCCAGGCCTTATAAAGGCAGTAGTGTTTAGCCGCTAGAGCACCGACGTGGGTTCTAGTCCCAGCCCTGCGACCAGCCTACTGAGTAACCTGGGGCAAGTCACTCCAGGTCTGTGCCTCAGTTTCCCTATCTAAAAAGCAGCAAGTGATGCCTCTTGTGTGAAGTGCTTTGCAATCTACTGCTGCGAGAGCTAGGTATTCTTATTGTTACAGAACATACTTGTGTGCATGTCCGTTCTTTCATCATTAACACAGGTCAATTTGTCCCGCATTGCAAAGTGGAATTGCATGCAGAGGCTTAGCCCGTAGCTCCTGCAGAATGCCTTCTTGCTTTTTATATTGCACACAAAGGAAACCGACTCCAAGGCAGAGGTCCAGCACAAAGGCCTGTTGCAAGACTTAAATGTGACTTAAGCCCTGTTTTGAGGATTTAATAGGCAATAGGCCGGGTGCCAGAATTCAGTTTCACCTGGAGAAAGCAGGTCATTTTCTCTCTTTCTCGTCGTGTAATCTCCCCACCCCCTAATGAGCCTGACCCAAAGCTAGAGTGAACTGGCATAACTCCATTGAAGCCAGTGGAGCTACTAGAACTTACACCAGCTGAGGATCTGACCCCCTGTGAGGGAAAGGATAAATGAGGATCTCCACCAAAGCTGCGTGTAGGTAGCTTGAATCTTCTTCTCTGGTCAGGTTAAAAAGTAGAGCTGAGCTTTGTATGTGTGACCAATAAACTGAGCATTTTCGCCATTCCTTGGCATAGCTACAGTGCTGCAACATCAGCAACTTGGGTTCCTTTTAACGCCCTGAACAAAGGATCCCTTCAGAGGCTGTTTGCACAATAAT